GTGGGAGCAGCCTCCTTGGGGGTGGTGGGTGCAGCCTCCTTGGGGGTGGTGGGTGCAGGCTCCTTGGGGGTAGTGGGAGCAGGCTCCTTGGGAGTGGTGGGTGTAGGCTCCTCGGGGGTGGTGGGTGTAAGCTCCTCGGGTGTGGTGGGAGCAGAAGGTTTGGTTGTAGTTTCAGCTTCGGGTGTAGACTTAGCAGGAACTTCGGATGTGGCTTCAAAATCTTTAGCAGATGTTTTCTCTGCATTCCGTGTCTCCTTAGCTGAAGTAATCTTTTCTGTCGCACTAGCTGAAGTCTGTTTATTTGTTACAGAAGTCTCTTTAGTTTCAACTGTTGTCTCCATATTGGTTGTCGAAGATGTTGTTTTGGGTGTTTCAGAATTAGGTGGAAGACTGGGTTTAGAGTCTACTGTTTTTACTGTTGTAACTGTGGAAGTGGTGGTAACTTTGTTGCGTTGAGTGGTAGGGGCATCAGGAGTTGGGGTGAGCTTCAAATCACCATCATCCAGTCCACTTCCAGCTTCGTCTGCAACTGGTGGTTCTGGGGTAGGTTTCTTTTTAGGAGCTGGTTTCTTGTCATCTTTTGCTAGAGAATACATAGACATCTTTTATTTTTGAGTAGGTTTTTTTTCTTTAATAATGACATAAAGATCCTACTCTTATTGACTAGCTGTGTGTCTCTAGGCAAGTTGCTGACCTCTAATATGTCTATTAATTTATTGTAAAATGTTAAATACTCAACCTATCTAATTGGGCTATTTTAGGGACTGAGATAAGGGATGAAAAGCACAAGTAAAACTCTATACAATGAATACATGGAAACAAGTGGCAAATTTGAAATTACCAACATGATCAATAATACTAATTCATCTCTTTTTGCATTACAGCTCTTTGCCCTTCACTTTCTCCACTTATTTCTCATTGCCCAGTGCCCCTTCCATCCTCCTGGAAACCTAGCTCCAACATCTTGTAGATTCACAGCACCAATGACCTGAGAGGCCTCTACAACTACATCCAAGGAGCCTGCTCCTGTCACCCCCAGGGTCCCTGCTGAGCCCTGTTTCCGAATCCATGGCTGTAAGCTGTTCTTTTTCCTCTGCCCAGTCCCAGGGGACATACAGAGATTAGGATGCCATGGCAGCAAAATCCTATTTAACAGGTTTTCCCATCACAGCTACCCCATAGGTGAACTACAGATGCCATGGGGCACCTCACAGTTGAGTTCCACTTAGCAAACCTGTATTGCACATCTATTGTGTGCAAGACTCTCTGGATGACTCAAAGATTAAATATCTGGCTATTCAGCTAGAGAGAAGGCTTCAGGGGGGATCACAACCACCCAGGAAATAAAGAGTTCTTTAAAACTCCAGAATCCAAAATCCGGTATTTCCTGGAGGAAGAGAATATAGTTTAGCATTTCAGAAAATAATAAAAAGCAGAACATAGGGAGCCTCTTTTTAGGACGTAATAGCCTACTCTGTAGGACGTTGTCTACTACAGAAAAATCAGCCAGATATGACAAAATTTACTAGGAAAACAGTAAAGAGGAATTGTAATGCAGATGATATTACCTTCCCCTGAGAGGTGCGTGAGAACTTAAGGAATTAACATTTTAGAACAGTATATAAGTGTTTGTTAAATAAAATAAATCTGGGGAAGAAAAAATGAAAACACAAGGAAGATAGAGGAAGAAGAAGAAAAGTGATATCAGGTAGACAGGAACTGAAATAGAAAACCATAGATAATCATCTTTGGCACCATCCTGTAGTTCCACAGTTGTTGCTATAGCATCTTCTGATCCTTTGCTTTAAAGAGTGGTTTCTTAGCGGTATGGCATTAAATTCCTATAGGAAGTTTCCATTAGTATATTCTAAAATGATTTTTATAAAATTATGTACCACCCCCCAAATATTGAAATGTCCTCCATTCTACAACACGCATTTACTGTTAGATAATTATTGGTAACATGGCATTGATATAGTCTTTGATCTTTATCAATGCTCAAACCTTTGGGTTTCTTCTTTAATTCTCTATTAGCAGCTGAATTTTTGGAAGACTTGATTTTCCGAATAGTTGAGGAGGAAGAGGAAGAGGAGGAAGACTCTTGATTTTCAGAAACAGAATGTTCTATAAATCAAATAAAAAGGTTGAGCACATCAATTGTGATTTAAAGCAAAAAAGAACCTCCAGTCCAAATACAATGACACACTGCTTTACTGGTCTACAAATCTCTGTGTTCTGCTTTATTTTATCAATAACATGATCAACTGTCCTTCTAATCTAATTGTCAATTAAAAGCAAGGCACCTGAGTTTATTCCAGATACTAGCAATATAACTATCTAACTTCCTCTCAACTTTCCCATATCTCACATAATGATTCTGCAAAAAAATCATGTTTTATTTTTATTTTTACATGAAGACTTGTTTGATTATTTTAACCTAGACCCCCATACTGGGCTCAGTAAAATAAGGAAAATAAATATCTGAGGGTTTATACTTTGGCTTAAACTTAGACTTAAAACAAGTAAACAAAATATACTAAGCCTTTAATGGCTCATAAGATTACTCTGTCCTATGAGGAGTCTTTATAAAAGCAGTCCATCTACAGCTTATGTCGTCTCAGAAACCTCCTTTTGTCAAATCTGCCATCTTCCTACCTTCTGTTATTTCCTCTGATTCTATAACTTTCTTAGTCTTCTTCTTGTTTGGTGGTTTGGGTGAACGTTTGGTTGTTGATTTGATGGCCTGAGGTGCTCCTGCAGGCGGAGGCGCAGTCGTTGCAGATGGTGGTGATGTGGGGCTATGCACTGAGTCCAAGCAAGACAGGTCAGTTAACATCTTGTTTCATCAGCAACTCTAACTGTGAAAGGTACAGGTGCATCTGGCTTCAAAAATAGATGCTGGCGAAAATCAGTGCAGGCAGGCTCTAGCCCAACACTAATGGCAGCAAACCAATTAATTGTGAGGATGCACTGCTATAAAATATTGGTTCTCAAATTGTTACAGGTTATGACAGGGAGTAAAGGCTCAGGAGTCAGAAGACCCGAATTCCATTCCTAGGCATGCAAGGCTCCATCTACCACCGTGACCTTGGGCAAATGGGCTAACCCCTTTTGGACTTGGTTTTCTTGTTTGCAAACTGAGATGCTTATGCTAAATTATTTCTGGAGGTATTTGCCTGTCTAAAAAAATAACTGACTCTGTAAACTCCATCCCTTGTTGGCTTCCTTCTGTGATAAATAATTACTGCATTTGGAGGACAACAAGTACTTGTGCTCTTAAAAAGAGAAATATAATGGTTATGGTTTTCCTGTTTTCATATTCATTTAAATCAAATGATGCCAATTTACCTTTGATATTTTTCTAATTACAAAAGTTCTACATGGATATTTTTCTCTTGTAAGCATTTCACGCCTGCCTGTTATGCTTTTCTCAAAATGCGTTGTCCTACCCCAAGTCAAATAACAGTTCATGATTTGATGTGGGTCTTTTAAAAGTTTTATCACTCCCTCCTCCCACCTCTTTTCATGTCTGGAAGAGACGACAGGGGACATGTTTTGGACATTAGGAACTACAAGAAAAGGAGAAGGGCTTCTAAAAGATTAGAAAGCAGAGAACAGTGGGGATGCTCTGGGTAGTGGCGAGTTGTAAGAAACCCTGCTGCTCTTCCCAAAGGTCTCCTCAGAACTCTTGCTGCAGTCCCCACAAACTGACACCCTACCTCCCCCTTTCTTCTCCCACCCAACAAAAGCCCCAAGTGCCTCAATTTGAGAAAGAGTTCTACCATGTGCTAGCTAGTGATCTTATGCAAGACTCTTAACATCTTAGACCGTTTTCTCCCCCACATTCATAGCTTGACTGTTAGGATTCCTTCAATTCTTGAAATGTTATGACGTTGAGATACGTAGATGCCTGCAAGCAGTATCTATAGCAATCTTGAAATAACTGAGTGGTGAGTCATAAGATAGTTTGGCTGTTAACTATTTTTTTTTTAATGAAGTATTGAAGCCTGGGTGTTTCCTTTATTTTCATTTGGGACCCTGACTACCTCTGTGAAGTCTGTCAATGAAGCATTACCTTCATCAGTTTTTTGTTGTTGTTGTTGTTTTCATTAAGTTCTATGTAAGTTCCAGGCACTCTGACCCACCGCTTAGTAGCATAAAGCACTGTGTTTATTAACAGATTCTCTCAATGCTTCATCATTCGCTAACCAACCTCCCTCCCCACCCGTCCTCTGCCCAGAATAAAGCCTTCCTTTCTGACTCACAGCGAAAACAACTATGAGGGCAATCAGGAAACATGTGCACTCATCAGGGGTCCTGAAAGCTGCAGGGACTCTGCCTACAAGGGTGTTGCCTCCTTTGTTCCTGGAACGCTTTCCAGTGAAAACACTGAACAGCTGAGCAATGTCTCTCCACTGCTCGAAAGAAGCAGGAGGCGCACCCTTGTTTAAATAACATGATAAGATTATGCAAGCAATGCTTATTTTCACATTTACCTCCACAAAGATTCCTGTTTTAACAAAGTAGGGTCTAAGAACGAACACGTGGTAAGAGAAAGGAATCCACAGTTTCAGTATATTTTTAAAATCTGGTTTTCTGTAAATTCAGAGGGTTTTGTTATATTCTCAGAGTACTCCTTCAGGACCTAGAATCAGAGATTTTAAAGTGGGGGCATCCCTTCTTATCGAATCGATTATCACACAGAGATGGAGAGAGATTACTGAGGTGACTGTCAAGATGGGAAGAGACATAAAATGGACAGTTAACAGCTTCTTGGTAGGTTTGCCTGTAAACTTTACCTAACTCATAAATTTACTTGTTCAGAGAAGCTGAAAGTGTTGATTCCCTCCTGAAATACACACTCAAAAACATTAAAGCCAAAAGCAGAGATAGCTCAAAGGACAGCTGACTTCGTGGGGTCCGCATCATTCGGGTGAGACAAGAAATCACCAAGTGAGTTGGTTACTGGTGATTTAACCTGAAATTGAACTACATGTGAAGAAAAACGCATGTGCAGTCAGGTACTATTCCCCCTGTAACCCAAACGTTGCTCTCCTGCGCTCCTGGAGCCTAGCTGAGCCGGGCCTGCTGTCGGAAGAGGCTTTCCTTCTTTAACTCATTTTGGAAAAACACAAAATTAATATGAAATAGCTTATGTGTTAGTAAAGTCAGGACCTTAAATGAACTGCGTGTTAGACATTATCCGTGAAGCGTAGGTAGGCACACAGATCTGGCTGTCCGAGCACCGGCTGGTACTGTCATGCTTACCTTCTTCACAGAAATTGTCATAATCCGGGCAGCACTTGCCGTACTTCTTACACTGGGAGTCACAGTCACACTCCCTCCCTCTTTCAAAGGACTCGAAGCAGCGGCCTTTACAGGAAAGATCTACCCAGAGCAAAACAAAACATTATGGATTATTGATGACGCAGCCACGCCCATGTACGGAGAGCTATTTCCCACCTTCTAGCTGACTAGAGCTCCCAAGGTGCATTTCTAAGTCCTTTATTTGGAATTTGGAAAATAGATGGCTTCCCATGTGGAGATAGCCCAAATCAAGACAGAAACATGGTGACTGAGGGAAACCTTTCTTGCCCCTCAAGGCTCCCAGAGACATCCCAACGCTGCCTCCGTTCTTCTCATGGATGGACAGTGGAAATTGGGAAACGTCTCAATAGTAAATTACCCTTCCTGTGAAATCCCTCCATCCTTTCCTCCTCACACCACTGCTTTATAATAGATGTTTGTTAGTCGAACATTCAGATCTATCACAACATATTCCAAAGAGCCGGCTTCGTATACATGGGTCGCTGTTTATTTATAATGCAGAGACCTGTATTATAATAAACTGAGCAAGGTGCAGCGCTGAAACATTTCAGCCTAATCCATGGCATAGACTATGTGAGAGAGACCTGCTTATCTCCCAAAAAGCCTTGGTTAGAGCCCCGAGGACTCCAGGAGGCTTATCTGAAATGACCACCTTATACAACGCATACATTGCACAACAATATATTTATCAGCTTCACATGCAAATGCTAAAGCAAACACGACTTGGAAACAATTGTAGTGACAATTTTCATAAACGGAATATGAACTGTTTCTGTGTTAACAACAAAATGGCCCCCAAATATGCTCAAGTGAAATACTACTCATAACTTAAAGTTCATACCCTTTGGGTATTAACAGAAGCTCACCATTAGACACTCGTGTGTTCTCTTTAAAGTGCCCTTTCCAGGTAATTTAAAAACATGTTCATATCAAAAAAAGAAGTCAAGGAGTAGACAAGCTCATTTTAGGTCCATGGATTTTTTGGATGTAACTTTTTTTTTTTTTGTAAAGATTTTTATTGGGGAATTGGGGGATAGGAACAGCACTGGGGAATTGGGGGAAGGGGCCAGACAAGTTGCTGTCCTTTTTGTTCTTCAGTCTAGTTGTGGAGGAGGTTGCTTCACTGGCCCAAGTTGGCACCATCATTGCACTCTTCCCGGGCGAGGCAGATCAGTCACCAGCTTCTGGACGGCCGTTCACAGCGGCTGCTGGCCGCTCACACTGGCTGCTGGCCGCTCACGCTGGCTGCTGGCTACACACGGTAGCTCATGGCAACCCACTGCCACAGGGGCTGCAGCCTACGCCATTGCCGGCAACTCACAGCAGCCCAGCTCCAGGTTGAGCTGTTGTTCAGCATCTTAGCTGTAGAGGGCAGTGTCACTGGCCCTCATATGTGGGATCCGAACCGGGGCCCTCTGGCATCCCAAGCCAGCTCTTAACCAACACGCCACTCGGCCGGCCCCTGGATGTAACTTTTGAAGGATCCTACCCCTAAGCAATTATATCTCTGGTGGTAAATGATTACTCATTACTACGTTCTTAATGACTCCTGAGTCACGGTGTTAAGTCTCTATTAAAAACAAGACATTTTACTTAACACTGGGCAATAACCTTGTGCAAGGAACAGGTTTCCAGGCTCCTTTTCCCCTCCCCCAGTGGTCACAAGCTTTGACATTATCCTTAGCTACAGCACACTGCAACATTTATGCACGTGAAGGGAAAGGCACTTAAGCAAAAAGGAGTGAAATAATGTGAAAACAACGCAGCGAGGGGTACAGGGGAACTGTCAAGAACAGTGTTGCTTGACAGAGAAGACGCCAGCTCTCGGGACTTACCCACAGTGCAGACTCTCTTGAAATCAGGGCAGCACTCCATGTAGAGTTGGCAGTTATAATCACAGTTGCAGGGGGTATCTCTAGAATACCCTTCCCCACATCTCCCTGCACAGCTTGATAAATCTAAAATTATACAATATAGTGTAAACATGGCCAAACCACTTTATAGAAAGGGCGAGAGCTAATGAGGACGATAGAGCCACTTGGTGGAAGAGAATTTTGTTGATTGGGAAAGGTTGGGAATGATAATTATCAATAGATGCAGGTAATCTTTGTCTGATCTTTTATGTGGTCTTTGTCATGTCACTTTATTCTTTACTAGACCGAGAAGATAAATACACTTTTGAAAATCAGGCTAAGCAACAGCTTTGCATTTCTCCTGGGGGAGGGGTGGCAGCTACAGCTCTACTGACGCTGCTAAGATGATGGCTAGTTGCCATTATTTGAGCATCTCTGTGCTGGGCACTGAGTCATACATTATCTCTAATGCTTATGAAAATGTTGCCAGCAGAGTAGGAGTAGCTTCTTTTTAGAGATAAGGAAGCTGAAACATTGAAATTTTAATAACTTGCTCAAGGACACCCAGTGAGTGAATAGACCGAGTATGTATGTATTACGGTTCAATTTAATACCTTCTAATCATTCATATTCACCTCTTTCACTCTCAGAAGTGTCCCAATTTGGATAATACATTATATGGTCATCTTAAGCCAACAGCCCATTTAGAATCTGAACTCTGATATATCTGATTCCAGAGCCCAGACTTTTTCCGGTCAATCATATTGCCTCTCGTTCTTCATGATGAGTTTAAAATAAGCTGGTTATGCCAGGACAAACTTCCCTAGGCTCCCTCTTTCTTTTATTGGTGGAGATAACTGGGTTCTTTAAATATTGGGGAAGTTGGATGTTCACAACTACTGCAAAAGTGAGTACAAAATAGGTAACTCTTGAAATAGCTTCTGGACATGAATATAAAGGTCATGAACAGAGTTATTTTTGGGAAAACAAAACAAGAACAAAAGCATAATTATCCTCAAATGTATTTTAAAAATAATTTGGAAAACACCTCGAAAACTCCCTGGGAGGTAGCTACAGAAAGGTAACAATTGAATCCATCTCTGAAATAGACATTGGCAGGTGCGATGTCCTAAATCCAGAGAGGGACTTTGAAACACACCAAAAAAAATCTCAAAATGATGAGTCCAGGAAAGTCAGTCTTACTATGCAAGTACAACATTAAATATTAGGAGAATTTTCAGAACTGTTTGCATGCATATGTGCACAATACAAACAAAATATATATATATATATATAGTGTATGTATAAAAATACATATTACATATAAACAAAAAAAGAAAATGAGAAGAGGTTGAGAAAGCAAGAAAAGCAGACAAGACAACATCAAAGGGTTATTCTTTTACAGTTAGCAGATTTCTGAAATAGGAAATCAAATATCTTTATAGGCAAAGAATATTTTGATAGATTAAATGTCTGTCCTACTTTTATTGTTGCTAATTTTAACAACTAATTTTAAATTCTTCTGTTTAAAGGAGAGTAAAACTATTTTAGTGAGCAATTGATTCCGTTACAAAGGACAGGCGGATGAGGACGTGCACCCACTGTTGTGAACCTTGAAATTTTACTATGAGAGAGAAGGGTTTGGAGACACCAGAGCAGTCATCATTCCTTATTAAATATTTATATTTGCTTTCGTGCCTTTTCCATCTTTTCTTATCTAAGTGATTCTGAAACTATGCCCATGGCAGGCAGTTATCTCTCATGCTCAGGTTCATGAGAATTTTAATTATTTTACTGGAAATCTCTATTTTATAAATATAATTTCATGTAACAATCATGAGCCTAATATAAAAGGACATTCACATCTGCGTAAGTCGATATCTGGATGAACTGTCCTTATAAGAAAGAGCAAGAACTTTCAAGATTAACAAAACGCCATTTGAAACATTGCAAATGTCATTGTAACTTATCCGTATCTACATTATGCCCCAAAGGGTTATTTATCAATAATTTATTTGATGTAAGAGATTAAATTTCTTTGTAAACATGTACATAAAAATTAGGTGCTATTTAAATATCATTCTTTTCAGTTAATCTGATGATATCGCATCATTCCAGTGATATCTATATATTGTTAAACTTTTGGGAGAACCATGGGAATAATGAACACAAAAATTACTCTATAGAAAAGCTCAAAATTTCTTGAAAGATTTCATAATACATTTGAAAAAAGTGACAATTCCAAAATGCTTACAAATATGTTACATGCAGTTTACAAAATGTTAAGGTTGTACTATGTATTAAACTTAATTATAAGTTTTTAGAAATCTATTTCATTTATCATAAAAGTCAGAAGTGAATGATTAGCAACCATGGTAGAATAAAACTATTTTTGATGTTTAAGATACCTTGAGAAGAAACTTGCTGAATCAAGGAAACAGAAAACAGCAGCAGCAAGTAAATGGGAAGTATTTTCCTCTCCATGGTTGTTCTCAGGTGCCGAGCCCTCGCTGAAACAAACAAACAAACAAACAAACAAATAAATAAATAAATAAATAATGTATCAGAAAACTACTCTTTAATTTCACCACCAACTTATGCCTGTGCTGCATACAGAGTTTTAGTAACTTTTAAAATGCAATTTAATGATAACACCATCCCATCCTTGCAACAAGACTTTTCAAAGTAATTAGCTTTAATTCTATAGTCAATATTTGACCACAAGATGGAATCTTATGCAGAAGAAATCATCAAGTCATCATCTCAGTCATGTTATTGACCATTTGAATATTTTAGAATTTCCCCAAATAGAACACAGGCTTATCTTAAAACTCTATTCAAATTAAAACATGTACTTACAATGTAAGGTTTAAGTCCTATCTTGGGAGGAAAATAACCATCTTCAGTAAAATTCAATTTAATATACACAGGAGTTATTGTTCCAACTTTCCCTTAACTATCAATATTAATTTATAAGCTTCCAACAGGTGCACTGCATAAATATGATCTTTTTCAAAACTTTCCAACTACTATCCTTATAAATCTTTTTCAGATACCTTTAATAAAGTTTACTCCTATTGAATTGAAAACCCATTTAATCCCAAGAAGCAAGTTAACTTTGACACTTACCCGTAAGAGGATAGATGAATTTCTCCAATGTCCTGAAAGTCTTATATATCAGTGCAAATACATTGGGATAAACCAATTAGTCCAAAGGTTAGACAAAATCAACAGTGACAACCTATGAAATCAAAGTTTCCTCATTTATTGGAAGAGAGCCCAGACGACTAGACTTGGGCAACATCTGGAAAACACTTCCATTAAGAAAAATGACTACTACAAAATAAATTCAGATTTATTGGCCCAAACACACTTCTAATTTCTAAGCGAAGTGAACAAGTTGTTCTGAGATGCTAAATCACTCTGGCAGGCTTTGACTAGTGTATTGAAGCAGCAACTTTAAAATGCCAAATGCTGGTATCATGGCTTTCTTTTTTGCTCCCTTATTTGGTCTAGCAAAGAGTAGTTTCGAAACTTGTCTAGTGTTAGTTTGTGGCGTGTATTTTCTGAACTTATACTACTAAATCAAATGTACATTTCTTTCCTTGAGTATTTTCATTTTCGCAGAAAACAGAAAATATGCTCTTAATTACCTATAGGTGGATGATTCACACTGGATTTTCAAGGTTCCTTTACCATGTAAAAACCTGCTTAATAATTGTATCGCTATCTCCCTTAGTTCCTTTATTTAAGCCCAGCAGTGTTTGGAAAAAGGCCTTTTGAAATTACTAATTTAGCTTTCTTGCCACAGAGAAAAGGTGAACTATCAACCTTGCAGAGCTGAGCCAGCTCAACTCAAAGTTTTACCCCATCTTGGTGTGCAATGTTCCTGTTCAAAGTCCATCTACCTACACAAGACCTTGCTCATGTCCCAGCACTTCCCTGAAACCTCCTCAGGTTAATCCAAACCAAATCCAGAATCATAGTCAACAAATGCGTTATGTTTTACTGGAATTATCTGTTTGTCTGTGTCCTTCCAACCCCCACTCCCGCCCCAACATACTGTGATTTTCCCAAGGAAATCCAACATCTAGTAAAGTGCTCGCCAAGCCTGTGTTTAACACGCTCACTAAAACGAGCTGGATTGCCCCATATTTGGTAGATGCTGCATTTAATGATCACAAAATGCTTTTAATTTGAATATAGTCATCCTACAGTCATTCTACAAATAAGATGAAGACCCACAAATGAAGAGCCTGTGACCCATCAAAGGACACATAAGGAGTAGGAGCCAGAGTGAAGCTTTGAACCCATGTCTTTATTTTAAGTTCCATCACGTTTCCACTATACCCAGCTGCCTTTTGCTCGAAGCCATCTCTTCAGTGCTTAGTCATAGTACTAAATTTTACTCTTTCGTGTGTATATGTAGGTTTATGCGATTGTGACCTTTGTAAAAACAGGAATTATGATAAAACCACCTCTTTTGTCCCCACAATGCTCATTCTGGGTTAAATAAATAATGTATATAAGGACAATTTAGAGACTATCTTATCACCTGTAAATAATCTCCTTTCTCTGGGAACCACCTCGTTAGGGGTATTTTCCTTTTAGCTGCTTTTATACTTAGGTGATCTTGTCACATCAACCACAACTGATAGAATTAGCAGCAGAAACCTGAACTAAATCGGGCCAATATACTTCCCTATTCTAGAAGTTTGGAATAGCAATTCAGAGATTTCAAGTCTGTCTATCTAGACGTTTAACATGTAAACTTCTGTCCGCGGTCTGAAGAAGTACAGAAGGTCTTTCAGAATACAGAGAGGGAAATGAATGAAGCAGTCGTGCAGAGAGAGGCAGAGAGTGTTCTGAGAACTCCCTGGGTCTTGGTTACTCTTTGTTCCTGAGACAAATGCCTTTTGGCTCTGTATCTTTATGGAAGAATCGCCCTGTGGGGCTGACGCTGGCTAAAGACGCTTTCTGTCACTGAGCAATATATACTAAATATACAAAAGATCCCGCTGGATGAAAATGAATCGAATTATCTTAATTCTTGATTGTACTGAGATAAGGAGGGGGAGGCTAGAAGCTTTGTAACTTTTTCAAGTCAGACCTTGAAATAAGTGTTCCCTTATTATTTGTTTAACCTGCGGGGAATACCAAGAGTATCAGCTACGTAGAAACATGCAGACACATATTCTTAAAACTAATATAAATTGCTATCTGATTATTGCCTATTAGAACCACCTGCTCTATAATTTTCCTCCTGTAGACAAATTCATCAATATAATGATGGAAAGTGACATTTTTAAACTGGTCAAATAATCTGCTCTAGTAATGTGTTTTTCTTAAGTCCAAGCTTTTGGCTTGGAGGACTGACAAATAAAACAACACACACACACACACACACACACACACACACACACACACACTATTATGGCCAACCATTAACACATTCTCATTGTCATCAAATATGTTTTCTCTGTATAATACAGTATGAAAATGAGAAACTTTATTAAATGTCAAGTTTATGAGCTTTAACATAAATACCTGATTTGCGCAATTCTATTGGGTATTAATGCTGCCCTTAAAGCATGGACGCATTTAAATTTTATCTATTAAATGTATCTTTCTAAACTGTACTCAATGCTTCATTCTGCGAATACTGGACCATTTAACCTTTCTTGCTGATCACACAGCAATTGCTCCATCAGGTTACAGGTTCCCTCTATGAGATTTCTCATTAAAGGCATTTTCTTAATGGTTCCTTAAATCTCATTTAATTGAGATAAAATTATTGCAGGATTGGTTTTGGTATGAAGGAGGTGGGGAGAGTAAAGAGATAGAGAGGACGTAAATAACATTGCGTCTTATACCAATCTTCTAGGCATGATTTTCACACAGTTTGCCCTCATGAATCTCAGTTTCTGTACTTGGCAGCAATACAGTGCTGCCTTCAGAGATTCAGGTGTGTTTAGGGATGTTTTCTCTGCTGTAAATTATCCCAGACTGTTGTGCCATCCTACTTGGTGTGCTCTGTCTCCATCCCTGCTGTTAGCTGTCACTTGGTCCCGTAGCCAGCCTGTCTGTACCTAGTGGCTTCTCTCCACCTTTCCACGTCTTTGATGTCTTTCATTTTCTTCCAGCAGCAGCCTAGGAAAAACTGAAGCACGCCAGGGGAAAACCACAGAGGCAAGCTGCCTCTTTATTGCCCCAGTTTTGCTCACAATGCTAAGTTAGTATACTCTAGAAGCAAAATAACTCCTCTCCTCTCATACGGAATAGACTAGAATTTGGGGACCTCCCTCTGTCTGTTTTGTTCATGGCATTTTCACAAATTGGAAAGGGTTGTGTGTGTTTTTCCTGGTTGTTGATCAAAAGTCTGACCATTCGATAAGGAAAATGTTATTGTATTCGCTTTTGGTGATAGTGGCAATCTGATAATTACTCCCGGTCTTTTCTACCCTTATGGAGCCACCCACCTAGAAGCTGCATCGCCCAGCTCTTCTTCAGTTACGCGTGGCCAGATGACTGTTTTCTTCAATGAAATGTGAGTTGAAGGGATATGTGCAACGTTCACTCTACTTTCCTAACAGGAAATTACTTGACCTGGCCTTCCTCTTTTCTGCCTTCTTGCAGATGTCAGACACCAGCCTTGATCATGCAGACAAGGATGGCAGCCGAGGGAACAGAGTCCTTTACGGAGCACACATGCACTCCCTCTGCCTGGACTAGCCAGAGAGTTGCATACAGGGAAATAAACCTCCATTTTACTTGAGCAGCTCTAATTTGGGGTATTTTTGTTACATCAACTTAACTATTACCCTAACATAGACATCCTAGGAAATTGCCAAATATTTATAGGAATCATATTTTAAAAATTGATTTGTGTACCAAATAACGATGTAAATGAATGAACTCATGGCAATGAACTGTTGATACTGGAAAGGCAGAGACGTAAATTATTTTTATTTGTAGATGACGTGGCAGTGTATGTAGAAAATCCTGAGCGATCTACCAATTTACCAAGATTCTTGGATACAAGATCAATAACAAGATTGATGTTGAGGTCATTTTAATGCATGCACTCAGATGTGTTGCCTTTTTTGAATATTCAAAGAATAAGAGGTCATTCACTTTCCATTTGTTCAATTCTTTTGATGAGCAAATTGTGCTCACTACATGCCAGCCCTGGTGTGAATTACTGGGGACACATACCCCGAAAAATGTATACACCTTTTAAGAAAGGAAAAAACTGTATTAAAGTAATACTCAATATACACCAATAACAAAAGAAAATACAAGTCACGCTTCAGTTCTGCAATTACAACAGGTGCTCAAAGTGGTTCCCATCAGCATCCAGACACTTCTGATTACAGCGAACTACTGCTTGAGCAACGTTGACCAAAATGTCCACGTGTATACATTTTTTTACATCCCCGTTATATGCAAGATAGAGCCTCTGGTCCCTAATATTTATTTATTTATTTATTTATTTATTTATTTATTTATTTATTTATTTATTATTTCATAGACTGTTTTTTTAGAGCAGTTTTAGGTTCACAGCAAAACTGAGTGCAAGGTACATGGTGTTCCCAGATTACCTCCCTCCCCTCAACACACACCAACTGCCCCCACTATCTGCATCCTTTACCAGAGTGGGATGTTTGTTGCAATCAATGGACCTACACTGATACATCACTGTCACCCAAAGTCTATAGTTTACATCAGGGTTCACTCTTGGTGTGTACATTCTATGGGTCTGGACAAATGTATAATGACACGTACCTACAATTATGGTATCACACAGAGTAGTTTCACTGCCCTAAAAGTCCTCTGTGCTCTGCCTATTTCTTCCTCCCTCCCCCCTTAACCCTTGGCCACCACTGACCTTACTGTCTCCATAGTTTTTCCCTTTTCCAGAATGTCGTACAATTGGAATCACACAGTATGTAGTCTTTTCAGATTGTCTTCTTTCACTTCGTATTATGCATTTAGTTTTCTCCATGTCTTTTCATGGCTTGATAGCTCATTGTTTAAAGATTTTTTATTAAAATATAGCTAACATACAATATTATATTAGTTTCAGGTGTACATCATAGTTATTCAACGGTACCCACCTGGCCCTATACATAGTTAATACCAAAATGTTGATTATATTCCCTATGCTAAAGAAGTGATCACCATAGTAAGTCCAGCAACCATCT